CTTTAAGTTCTTTACTCTTTAGCTGAGCAATTAAAAGTTTAGCTATATTAACAAAATACTCACCCAACTCACTCACTTGTTGTGTGCCTTCAAGCTGTTTCTGACTTGAACCTACCATGGGTTTTGGGGGGGCAAGATTTCTTCTTCAGAGGATGTTTGCTTGTGCCTTCCTCTGAGGTTGAGTGTTACTTACCCAAGATCAGATTGTAAATAATTGATTATGTGCATCTAAATTTATAACAGGATAATCTAACTAAGCTTTGATTATCTTATTTACATTTAATTTGTACCTAATAAAAGTTTGGATTAAGCAGGTATATGCATAATAATTAAGGAGATTTTTCAAAAAACAAACAAACAAACAAACAACAGATCCATCTTACCATTTTTCTGTTTGTTGTTAATACACTTGATTTTGTCTCTCCCTGATCTGTATTGATTCCTTCCTGTGTCAGACTGTAATCTGTACTTGTGGCCACATATAGGTTTCAATTTTTGTACCTGTCATTTCATTAGCCGCCCTTTCTCTCACTTTCTGTTTGACAAATGCAGGATGTACTACCCAACCACTTAATTGCCATAATCAATAGGGGACCAGCCTAGTAACTGTAATTAAAATGGTGTGGTCAATAAACAATGTGAGTCTGAAACACTAAGGACTGCATAACAGAGAGAAAACATGTAATTAAAATGAGCTATGTAGTCTTCATGGGAGATAGGCCAGCCTAATTATAATGGATGAGTGTTTAACTTTAGAAACAGAAAATAATTTGTAATGAATATTTCTTCCATGGATAATAGACTCTTTCTCATCATAACATCTCAGGGTGGAGGGCAGGAGAGAAAGTTCACACTTCTCAAATTTAAGAAGAGCATCAACAGAGGCAAACTCCATGTTTTGTGTTCTTCAAATGAAAGGTAGTTGTATAACAAAGTGGGACCCATGAGCCTCATATGGCCTCAGCATCTCCCAAAAATTCAATTAAAAATTCTTTCCACACCCTTAAAAAATGCAAAATTAAAAATATGATCATCCCAAAACATCAATAACCCTCCCCTCCGAAGCCCCAAAGGTGACTGATAATGATGGAATATCATTCCCACTCATACAAAAATGGCAACTGTCATAGTGTGGTGCAGCCTCCTTAAGCTCTAGAAGAGGCCAAAAAGTGTTGTGTAACACATGTAGCTTCTGTGTGAACCTACTTTGTCTATAAGGATGCCTTTTATAGAAAGAATGGACAGAAGATGACTCAAAATCCATAGAGAAATCTCTGAGTCAACAAAGATTTCTGACTCCCAATAGATTAATAATTAATAAAAGAGATGAATACATATGGCCATGATTCTGCATCAGGAATTTTATTGCAAAGTTCCACCATGACAGAACTAGGAAATGTGTTGCCCCTCCCTTCCCAAGGACTCACTGTCCTATTCCACGCATAGAGAACCATGGCCATGCAGTGGCTAGTGGAGTGGAGGGAATGGCTGAGAAGCATCTGGATGACAACAGCCAGATACAAAATGGCAATGTCACTTTCCAGGACCTCTTGACAATCACCAGAGATCCTGGCAGATGTCTTCATCATTGTGCATCTAGCTGTAGTCAAAAAGCTAGATTCTTCTCAGTTGTCACCTGCTTTTCACTGGCCACTGCATGACCATGAATGAAGACACAGGAGGAAGGTGGGTTGTTAGGGGTTTCAGAAACTGAGCAAGGGAAGAAAATAATAGTTTAATATATTTTTAAGGGGCGGGTGGGTTGGGAATGGTTTGTAGGACGTGTTTTAACCTGTGATGTGTTTTAACTTGCTGTACGCTGCCACAATTGCGCTGCAGAGGGGTGAGATGATGATGATGATGATGATGATGATGATGATGATGATGATGATTATTATTATTATTATTATGATCTCCAGAACAGCCCCCTCCCCAAAAGTACACATGCAGACACAGGTTGGATTTACACATACATGTATCACTAACATCCCCACCATGTTTGTGTATCTTTCTGACCTGTAACAGGATTATTGATGTAACAGGCTTATTGATGGCTTGCCTTCAGTTAGACTTTAGACTCATAGAATCACAGAGTTGGAAGAGACCACAAGGGCTATCCAGTCCAACTCCCTGCCATGCAGGAACTCAAAATCAAAGTATCCCCAACAGATGGTCATCCAGCCTCTGCTTAAAGATCTTCAAGGAGGGAGACTCCACTACAATCCGAGGGAGTGTGTTCCACTCTTGAACAGCTCTCACTATCAGAAAGTTCCTCCTAATGTTGAGGTGGAATCTCTTTTCCTGGAGCTTGCATCCATTGTTCTGGGTCCTAGTCTCTGGAGCAGCAGAAAACAAGCTTGTTCCCTCCTCAATATGACATCTCTTCAAATATTTAAACACAGCTATCATATCACCTCTTAACCTTCTCTTCTCCAGGCTAAACATCCCCAGCTCCCTAAGTCATTCCTCATAGGGCATGGTTTCCAGACCATTCACCATTTTAGTTGCCCTCCTCTGGACATGTTCCAGTTTTTCAACATCCTTTTCGAATTGTGGTGCCCAGAACTGGACACAGTATTCCAGGTGGGGCCTGACCAAAGCAGAATACAGTGGCACTATTACTTCCCTTGATCTAGATACTATACTTCTACTAACGCAGCCTAAAATTGCATTGGCCTTTTAGCTGCGGCATCACACTGTTGCCTCTTGTTCAACTTGTGGTCTACTAGGACTCCTAGATCCCTTTCATACATAGTCTTGTTAAGCCAGGTGTCCTCCATCTTATATCTATGCATTTAATTTTTTTGCCCTAAGTGCAGTACCTTACATTTCTCTGCGTTAAAATTCAGTTTGTTAGCTTTGGCCCAGCTTTCTAATCAATTAAGGTCATTTTGAATTTTCATCCTGTCTACTGGGGTATTAACTATTCCTCCTAATTTGGTGTCATCTGCAAATTTGAGAAGCATGCCCCCTATTCTTTCAACCACGACATGTTGAATAACACTGGGCCCAAGACAGAACCCTGTGGCACCCCACTGGTCACTTCTCTCCAGGGTGAAGAGGAGCCATTGCTAAGCACCGTTTGGGTTCGGTCAGTCAACCAGTTACTAATCCACCTAACAGATGTATTGTCTAGCCCACATTTTACTATCTTGTTTCCAAGAATATCAAGAGGGACCTTGGCAAAAGCCTTACTGAAATCAAGATATGCTATGTCTACCGCATTCCCTTCATCTAGCAAGCTGGTAATTTTATCAAAAAAAAGAGACGAGATTAGTCTGGCATGACTTGTTTTTGAGAAACCCATGTTGACGTTTAGTGATTATGGCAGGGGTAGGCAACCTTTTTGAGACGTGGGCCAGGTTGCTGTCCCTCAGACAATCGAGGGGCTGAAGCACCAAAAATAAATAAATAAATAAATATAGAAATAATTTTTTAAAAAATTAAAAAAATATGCATGCACACTCTCTCAG